CTGGGGAATTCTGGGAGTTGAAGTCCACACCTCTTCAAGTCGCCAAGGTTGAGGAACCCTGGCATAGTGTTTTGTGTGAGTGCAGCTATTGTGCTCTATGAAACGGCACTGGGGCTCTGCAGGAAGAGGCAAAGGGCTCTGGGGTCGAAATCTGTGTGATGATGTCATACTCGCATACAAGGAAACAGCTGGGTCATTGAAGTGACGACATCACCAGCCCATTGTCATTTTGGTATCATCGCAGTGTGCTGTGGACACAGCCAGTTTAGTTTCAGTAAGCCGTATTTTAAGTCACGGAATCATAGGTTTGGATCTAAAAGGTCATCCCCCTGCACGCAGCAGGATCCGCTACCCCATCCCTGATAGAGGACCACCCAGCCTCTAAACGTGGACAGGGTGCGCTGGGCCCCGGAAGGGTTAGGAAGCAGCAACCCGCTTGAGCCTGGGAACGGTTCAGAGCTTTTCCCAAGATGTCTCTGGGTTAAGACCTTGGGGTGCTTGTGGCTGCAAAGCCTACTCCGGGGTAAAGGAAGGGTCCTTATTCCAGAACAGCCACACATTCAGCTCTCTGCCGGCATGATGGAATTCCTGGGAAGCCGAAAGAACTGCGCTGTCAGCAGCGTAAGGTGTAGGGGAATCCCTCCGCCACGAAATGGTTCCCGGGGGGGGCATCCTTGTGGGTCTGTCCCTTAGGAGGAGTCCCAAAGCACCAGTGGGCTTGCTCCGCTCTGCGCGAGAACGGGCTCTCAGTCGGCTCCCTGGCATTTTCCACAAGGCCTCGGCGCACAGTGTGGCTTTGGGGTTTGGCGGAAATGGGGATGGTGGCTCGGGGAGAGGATCCCCGCCTGTGGTCTAACGTGCGTCACGTGCAGATGGAGCGCCTCGGGCCCTCTTGCTGCCTCCAGCGCAGCGTCCCGAGTGCCACCCTTGCTGGACCCTGGAGCGAGCCGCCCCGCCCCCCCCCCGCACATTCAGTCTAGGTCGGCCTGGTCCAGTGGTACGTTTGCCGTTTCTTCAATTGTTGAAATGGTTTCCGGGGTGAGCTAGCCTTGGGATACTTGGCCTGCGCCCAAAGGAAGGGGCAAGCAGGCTGGCCCCCTTGGCAGTCTCTTCTGCTTGCACATGCCCTGCTCCCTTTCTGGCTGGCAGCACGTAAGGGGTTAAGGCACCCGTAGGCTGATGTTGCCTGCCTCCTGCAGGTCACCCAGACACAGTTTCCATGGAAACTGCTGGGCCATCCGCCAGCATCCTGCTGTATCCTCCTGCTTCTGGTACCCAGGACCCTTCACTCCAGTGAATAAAACCTGGTGGGGGTGAGGGGAGGACAGGAGAGCAGATTTGAAAGCTGCTAGCAGGGCGGGGCAGGGCGGGCGACGGGAAGGGCGCTTCTGCGTGGATGCCGAGGGAAGGGAAGGGGCCTCACCGCGTTGCCTTGTGGGGAGAGGACAGGCCCCACGCCACAGGGCGGCCGGAGCGCTCTAAGTGGTGCCTTTCGCTGAACCAGTCATGTCTGACTCCTGGCATCTCCAGGCGGGGCTGAGGAAGAGCTGCGTCTGAGCGTCTGACGGCTGCGGCTTCTCAGCGCCCGGATCCGCACAACGTGGGAAATTAGACTAAGGTGCCGCCGGACGCTCGTGGGCAGCTCGGTGTTGACTTTGCATCGCACTAAGCCTTAATATTTTGTTGTTGTTGGGCACTGCATATGTTTTGAATGCAGCCCTTGTGTCGTAGACACCCAGGTTCGTCTCTTGGGCGAACCCGTGAGATGGAGATGGGGATCCGTGCAGTTTGGGCAGGTTCAGTGGCCCCGGGTTCCAAGGTGCATGAGGGGTCTGTCCAGAAGACGGTCCTGGGCAGCTCCTTCCCACAGAAGGGGTCTTAGTTGTCGTCCTGACTCTTCCTTGGCCTCCCCCTGCCGCAAGGGAGTAGGAGCCCTCGTGGGGGTGGTGCCTTGCCTGGGGTTGGGGCTCCCCCCGGCTCCAATTAATCTGGGGCTGCCAGACCGGCCGGGACCTGGCCAGGCTTGCTGTCTCTGGAGCAGGCTGTTTACTTGCCCAGCAGCGCCAAGAGAGGATGGGGCCGGGGGGGCAGTGGCGTCTTGGGGGAGGCGCAGGAGGACTGGGGGGCCCTTGGAAGCGGCTGGCCATCCTTGCTCCTGAGGCTTTGCCAGCTGCGGGCTGGTCTGCCAAAGCGCATTTCTCTGCTGTCTGTCGCTGGCAAGGACAACATGTGTACGTCCCAGCGTGGGAGACGTATTCAGACGCTGAGGATCTGGGCCCCAGGCTTTGGCAGGTGAGAATCGGCTTTCGGAGCCTTAGCGTGGACCTGCCCTGCCCTGGTCTGCTAGAGGCCAGGACCGCTTCTGCCTCTGGACCCGTCCTCCTGGTCTTTCTCCTTGCTCCGAAATCCAGCTTCCCCGCCCTTCCAGGAACTCCTGCATGTCCGACTCGTGTGCTGCTGCTGGTCAGAGCCCCTTGAGCTCTGGTGTTGCTTTCCTGATGAAGCGCAGACAGGTCCGTGTTTGTTTACGAGGAAGAGCCGTGGCCCGTTGTCTGTGGATAAAAGGGATTTCCTAGCGAACACATTCTCTCGGGATTTATGATTACGGAACAAGATTGTCACCAGAGGGGCCTAATATCTCCAAACCACCATTCAGGACGGTGGCCCCCATACAAGCACTGAGATGTTCTGGGTGGGTCTGATGAGGTCCAGCGTGAGCTGCATTTGCACAGAGCCGCAGAGCCGCGGCAGGAGCGAAGGGACGTTCCTGCAAGGCAGCGGGCCGGCCCTTCCCGCGCGACCCGAGTGTGGGGGGCTGCACCCACAGGGCCGTGTCCCTCTAGCAGCCTCTCGTCGGCTTGTCCCTTCTGTTCTCTGCTCTCTCGCGCATTCTGCTGCCTTTCAGTTTCTCCTGGCTGGTTCAAAGCCACAAGACAGCTTCGCGCAGCAGCAGCCGACTCTCTGGAGGGAGCTGAGGTTATCTGGGGATTCTTCTTGTGCTGAGGGCAGCAAACAGCACCCCGATGGGTGCCGGCAGCGGCCAAGAAGGCTTATGGGCAACGATGCCTGCAGGGGGGTCCACCGCATGAAAAAGGTGGGCGCAAGTAGGGCAATTGAAGCCACTGACCCTTTTTATGTGTGTGCGATGAGTGTAATGTGCATTAACAAAGAGCAGGGCTTCGATCGCCTGGTCGTGCCTGCCGCTTGGACGCTGTTGATCCCTCCTGTAGTTACCCCAGCTATGGGCAAATCCTAGGTCTTGTGCTGAGTCTGGGGACCATGGGAGTGTAAACCGCGGCAGTGTTTGCAACGTCAAAGTAACCGTTGATCGGTGTCAGTGCCACCATGGCTGTGGCTGTAGGACCTCACCTGTCTGCGCTGCTCCACGTCCCCGTCCCCCTCCCACATAGCTGCAAGGGATCAAAAACAGACATAGGTTGTTCTAGGACTTGGTTCTTCCACCCTCTCGTCCACGTTTGGGTGACTAGGGAGTTAGTTTAACACCAGTAGTCCTGGCGGTCAGCGGGATTCCCTTGCCATTTCCATTGATTGGGTTTTACGTTATACTCTGATATCCCTCCCCAGTCCAGTTAAGCCACTCATGGGTAAGTGGCCGAGGAGCATCAAATGGGGCCTTACTGTTCTGGCAGCTCTGTCACCCCACTCCTTTAGGTTCATTGGAGGGTTAGGGTTCACCCCACAAAATCACGGACTTCCGTACTACGTAGCGACGCAGCCCCGATCGAAGGGACCTCAACGCTCGGTGCCATGTTCCCCTCCCCTCCCCCTTCTGCAGTTCGACCAAGGAGACGAGCGTGGGCAAGGTGCGCGACGTGGCCTCCTTTCGTCGGCATTTCAGGATGGGGTTCATGACCATGCCAGCCTCACAGGAACACGCCCCACACCCTTGTGCCAGCAGCATGGCACCCCGCTCCCTCTCGTGCCATTCTGTGGGCAGCGTGGACAGCAGTTCAGCGGACGGGGAGGTTGGATCTCGCAAGCCACCCGCCAAGCCGAAGCGGCACCCCAGCACGAAGCTCAGCACCGAGGCCAGGAGCGCCCTGGAGCTGACGGGAAGCAAGAAAGGAGGTAAGGCGGAGCTGCAGAAGCGTTTTGGGGGGCAGCAGCACTTTTGAGAGAAGCCCAGCCTGCAGCCTCTGAGGCGCACTTTGCGGCTTGACTACTGCAACATGCTGTACACAGGGCCTCCCTTGACGACTACCTGGAAGCTTCAGCTGGTCCAGAATGTGGTGATGTGAGCAGTAACGGGCATGCCTTGGTGTGCTCATGTAGCACCTCTGTTTCACAAGCTGCACTGGTTTCCAGTTTGCTTCCAGGTGTGATTCAAGATTCTGGTTGTTACCTATAAAGCCCCACCTGACATAGGGCCTGAGGGACCTCGAGGGACCACCTGTCTCCCATAACATCTGATTTGGCAGGGTTGGCACACTCCGGGTTCCTTCAATTAAACGGTGCCAGGTATTGGGATCCCAGAAGCGGGCCTTCTCAATCCCAATGTCTGCCCTCTGGAATCAGGTTCCCCCCGAGACCCAGACGGCCCTCACTCTGCTGGCGTTCAGAGGGTGTTGAAGACCTGGCTCTTCATCCAGGCCTTTGGCAAGGGTGGGTGTAGCCCCTTGTGAGGAGTGGGTGACCGGTTTTGCCACCTTGGCCTTTTCTTGTATCGCTGTTTTGTTTTTATTGTTTTACGGTTTTCATGTTTTCTTGTTCTTGCCCAGAGTATAAAATAAATAAATAGTAGAATAATTCTATGTGAGTCTCCCCAGACTTGTTCAAAACTCCAGCTGTTACGGACACTGCTGGCTCTGCTGGCCAGCGAAGCTCGCATTGGAAAACTATGCAAAAAGAAGGATGGCAGCCACGCCTGGGTTCTCCTCAGCCTGCCAAACAGGAGAGAAACTGAGGGGCCACGTGGTGGGGAGGGAGGGCCCAAAGGCCAGACGGGAAAGAAGTTGCTGACCGTGATTTCTGCGCGGTCAGAATTCAGGGCCACGCAGAAGGTCTGCCTGGCCTTCCCCAAGATACGGTCGTACAGAGGCGGTGACGGACGCGGCAGTTCAGGTGGTCCGTTTTCTCGCTTAGCCGCGGGTGCGTTCCGGGTGCGTGGCGTGCTGCATTTTGCTACCTTGGTTGGCTTCTCTCTGCCCCCGCCAGGTTGCCCGAAGGCGAGCGCGGAGAGCCGAGAATCAGCTCGCAAGGTGCCCCCGCAGAAACCGAAGCGCAGCCCCAACACCCACTTGTCTGTATCGTTCGACGAGACCTACTCCGGGCGCCTCCCAGGCCCCGCTCCGGGGGGCGCGGTGCAGCGCTACAGCCGTGCCTTCTCCCACAGCCAGGCCAAGGGCTCCGACGCCGAGGAGGACGAGCCGGTCTACATCGAGATGGTAGGGGACATTTTCCGGGGACCCGGGCCCCCCCCTCAAGTCGCCACTGCTGCAGATGAGGACTCTGACGAGAGCGAAGCCATTTATGAAGAAATGAAGTACCCGCTCCCCGAAGAAGGGGGGGAGTCCCGCCCCAACGGGGCCCTCACCTCCCCTTGTCACCGGCCGAACAAGAGGGAGGCTGCCAAGGCCGCGCCGAGCACCAAGACCTCGCCGTGTGAGATCCCACCCCCCTTCCCCAACCTTTTGCAGCACCGGCCCCCCCTTTTGGCCTTCCCCCAAGGCAAGAAGGGATACAAAGGTGCCGGCCCAGATGGCTCCAAACTGCCCGTCCCGTGCCATGCCAAGGAGGCGCCGTCGGCCCCTATGACCCCCCAGGTCCCTAGCCACCATCAGCAGCGGGGCGGCGAGAACCCTGCCCTGGCGCCATCTGGCCGTGCGCGCAGCCACTCCACGCCGCTGCCTCCGCAGCCCACCAGCCAGGGCAAAGCAGAGAAAGATCTCCCCATTTCCCACAGTATGATCTGCCCCTCCGCAAAGCCACCCCCTGCCCCGGCACCGCCAGCAGCCTCTACCCCTTCCGGGGTGCCAGGGAAAGACAAGCCAACCGTTTCCTACACGATGGTCTACTCGGCAGTCAAAGTCACAACTCACACGGCCCCCTCTGAGCAAAAGACGGAGAAGGAGATTTCCGTCCTCCATGGGATGTTGTGCGCTCGGCCCTCCGCCATGCCCTCATGTAAACAGGTGCAGCGAGCTTGCACGCTCCCCGAGCCACCGCCTCTGGGCATGGTCTGGACTTACCCGGCGCCCTGTGCGGGGCTGAAGCGCCCGCCGGCCTACGAGAGCATCAAAGGCATGGGGGCTAAAGCGTCGTCGGCCGTGAAGATTCAGCTGCGGGACCGGGCCTTCGCCAGCATCGCCTGCTCCCAGGCCGTGTCCGGCGACGACTGCGGCCGACCGGCGGGAGAGGAGGAGCCCGTTGGCTGGGTGCTGCAGAGGAGAGGGGGCTTTCGGAAGGGGAAGGAGCCCGACAGTAAGTGCGGGCGAGGGTGCCAGGGAGAGGGACGTGCAGGGGTCAGCATCCTGCCCCGCGGGCAAGGAAGGGGCGTTGGTCTTGAACGGGGGCATGAACCCGGGGCTGCTCAGCAGGGGGGCGTGTTGGTGGGGGGCTCTTCTCTCCTCCCGTGCCCCCCCCGTAGTGACCCGGGAGGCGCTGCCTCTCCAAGGGGCCCTTTGTTAGACCCTGCTCCAGGGGCTGCTGACTGAGGAGGGGGAGTTCCTGGCCTGCAGTTGGGGTGGTGTTCCCAGGAGCGGGCCCAGGTGGCGGGGGACCAAGCTGGGAGCCGTTCTACCGGTGCCCCAGCTCTGCCAGTTCTTCTTCTGCCGTTGCAGAGGTCACAGACTGCCCCCAGACGTGGGACGGCAGTGAAAGTGCTCAGCCCAAATTGGACAAGGAAGAGAAAGCTGTGCCGAGCCACCCACAGTCGAACATCCCAGTCCGTGCGCCCGCACCCGAGTGTCTGGCTGCCAAGATGCCAGGGGGGAGGACCAACCTGCCTATTCCCTGCCAGACCTTCCCTGCCTGTCACCGGAACGGAGGTGAGGCGGGGGCTTCCTGGAAAAGACCGGCCTCCGCCTTGTGGGCTGGCCATCTTGGCCCGCAGGGAGGGGCGACGGACCCCCAGTAGTTCTTTGGCCGGTTTTGGGCCGCAGGACGTGGACTTAACGCAGCTGCAAAGAAGCGGGTGAAGGCAGCCGGCAGCAGGCCAAACGGGCGCGCGGACGCGCACACACACACACAGGCACCCAGACATTTGCTCAAAGGGCCAGAATTCCCCTGGGACGCCTCATCTCCCCGTCTCAAATTCTGCTTTATGGGTGAGGGGGAAGAGGAGGCGGAATCGGTGCCTTTCCGCTGCCTTCCTGCTCCGCGTTCAGCGTGGCTCTTACAGGCGGGAGGCCAACCAAGAGGGCAAAGGACTCACCAGGCTCTTTCCTTCATCCCCACCCCAGATTTTACCGGCGGGTACCTTCTGGGCCGCTCGGCATCCACCTCAGGCGTCCGACAGGCTGTGATCCACGCGCAGAGGCCGTGCAGCCATCCCAGGGACCCGGGCAGCCTGGTACGTCGGGCGGGGAGGGGAGGGGAGGGAGGGGGGAGCAGGTCTCCTGAAAGGCCTCGCAGGGACGTGGCGGGCAGAAGGACTGCCGGGACGGAGGGGAAGAAGCCTCCGATTCGGAGGAGCAGGAGACGACCCTGGAGGAGGAAATCCAGGGAGGGTTTGGTCCAAGGGCTTGAGCACCGTTGCAGAAGCGGCGGGAGGGAGGGGGCGCTGCGTTCTCAGGGGCTTTTCTCGTTCTCTGCTTGGCGAGATTAAATGGCTGCAGCACAATTAGCAAGAGCCACCCGGAAAAGAAATCCCCAGATTTTTAAGAGGGAGGCAATATCCTTGCAGAATACATTACTAGCCTAGGGATGAAGGTCATATTGAACCCCGATCTGCCAGGACATCTTACGTGGAAACAGAAGAGGCAGAGAGAGAAGTAAATTCCTGCCCCCCCCCATCCTACCAGTAAATTTCACTGGAAGGTAATCCAATTTGGACCCTGGCACTGCCCAACCTGGCCCTCTGGCTCAGGGTGATGCAGACAGGTGAGCAGCAATTAGGGCCTGCCCCTCCAGCAGGCAGGTGCCCGGGAGGGTAAAGACTGGAGGAAGGACTTGGCGGCAGGCGTGGGCAGGCAGCCTGCTCTTGCCAATGAAGCCGGTTGCGGCTCCAACCCAGAGCCTTTGCATCTGAGAGAGGCGGGGAGGGTCCCCTGGCTGCCTCCTTCACCCAGGCGTTCAGACAACCACCTTTTCGGTTAGCTGAGCCCCGTTCAGCGGCCTGGAGGTGCTGGCCAGTGGAAGGGAGACCTCCAGCACGCGGGGCGGTGGCTCCGTTTTGTGCCTGACCCGAGCGGGATGCTGCTCCTCTCTCGGTCTGAGGCTGAGGAAGAGCGAAGGCTGCAGACGGGCTGGCGGAGGATGGCACGGCGATGCTAACCCTGGCTCTCTCCGCAGGCCCTGCAGTACACGCAGCTGCCTGGCCCCGAGGCCCTGCAGAGCTCCTCGCGGGAAAGGGACGGAAAGCTGCTGGAAGTCATTGAGCGCAAGCGGTGCGTCTGCAAGGAGATCAAAGCGCGGCACCGTCCTGAACGCAGCTTGTGCAAGCAGGAGAGCATGCCTATCCTGCCCAGCTGGCGGAGGAGCACGGAAAGCCGCAAGTCCGGAACGCCGCCCTGCCGCCGCCAGCAGACGGTGCTCTGGGACACGGCCATCTGACCAGGGGAGGGGGCTGAGCCCCAAGAACTGGTGCCTTGTGCTGGCCAAGCAGAACGCGTGGCAGGGCTAACTGCTGGCAGCGTGGCCTCCTGCGGGGGGCCTTCCCGGCCGGGACCATCCGGAGACTAGGGGCTGCCTGGGGGCCGCCCCTCCTGAGCTGTGGCGGAAGGACGCTTTGGGCGGAAAGGGGCGAGTCGCTATTTCACGGTTCCCTGGAGAAAAGAGGGCCTGCGGTGGGACAAGCCTGTCGCCGCACTCCGAGGAGCCTCCCCTCCCCTCCACGCCGGGGGTGGCTGCACCTCAGGGGCCGGCGGCGGCAGCAGCCCACCGGAAACGGCGTTGCCCGCAGCAGCGATGCCGAGCAATGGGTGCTGCAGGACCATCTGTGACCGGTCTCGGAGGGCACAGCGGGCAGGGCAGGGCAGGGCAGGGCAGGGGCGGCAGCGGTTCTGTGCATTGGGCTGAGGGTCCCACCGCTTCTTGGCCAAGAGCTCCTGGGCTGCAGAGGGCCAGAGTGACGGCTCCCCAGTGTTCCTTCCACCTCTGAAAATGCCCCGGGGAGGAGGGGATGCCGATCTCACGGGGAGCCCTGGGTAAGGGGCCTGAAAATCCGCCCGCCTTTGGAGCAGTTTGGGGGGAAGGGGGGATCCCAGAACTTGTGGTGCTGAGTTCTTGGTCTGCCAGGACTCCGAGAGAGAGAGCGGGAAAGGGAAGGAGGAGCCGTGAACCGAGGGGCTCCGGCCTTGGTTTTCGTAGCAAAGCTGAATCACGAAATCAGCCGTCCCCTTTATTCTTACCTCGAACCGTGCCTGTGGCCGGCTCTCTAAAAAGAGCAAAGCATCGGCCCACGAAGCCACATGCAGCAGAACAAGCCAAACACCGCCGCCTCTAGCCCCGCAAGGAAATAATAAGACGCAATTTTCCAAACCATCAAAATAAATGGAAAAGAAATTGGGGGGTTGGGGGGTGAATACGTTCCTTCGTCTACTTCCTGAGAGTCAGATCTGCCCCACGATGGTTTTGTCACGGCGTGATAAGACCAGACTAGCAACGCCGCGGCCTTTTTCAGTCGGATGCCCTCCAGAAGGTCGAACTGCGGCTCCCCGCGTTCCTCTCGCAGCAGCAGCATGGGGCGCGCTCCAGGGCGCCACAGCCTAAATTCAATCGATCGGTCGATGTGCCGGAGGCTGCAGAGGGGAGAAGGCAGGGCCACAGTGCCTGTCCTTTACATTTTTTTCATGTTCCCCCAGAGCTTCCTTTCCCTTTAGGTTGTTATTGTGCAGTTTGACTAATTTCATAGACTGGAAATGGCAAAAGGTCCATCTTTTCCTCTTTCACTTTCTCCTTACCTGCTGGCAGAAGTCCTTGAAGCCAAGGATTTGCCCAGGAAAACAAAATAAGAAGTTTGAGATTTCAGTGGAAATAATGTATGCTTGGGATTTGATCTGATTTGAAAAAGGCACTTACTAGTATGTTGCAATTCACAATTAGGCAGTGAGGTTTTTGCTGTTGTAAAAGCACAGAGATGTGGGTAAACTACTTCTGTGTCATTACCAGGCACTAGGAAGTCTGCATGTTTAAGTCTAGGTCAGTGTTTCTCAACCTTGGGTGCTTGAAGATGGGTGGACTTCAACTCCCAGAATGCCCCAGCCAGCCTGGCTGGCTGGGGAATTCTGGGAGTTGAAGTCCACCCCTCTTAAAGCCGCCGAGGTTGAGAAACACTGTTTTATGTACGAGGGAACCTTTGATGCCTCTCGGGGTTCTGGAAGACTCAAGAACTCGAGGGTTTCTATTCCTAGCAGGTTAAACACAGGGTAAAGACCATGAAGTAAACTCGTGCCAGACACCCATGCTATGCTAAACGTACATGCGCTCAGCACCTCCCGAAGGGCGGGGTGGGAATAACCCTTAGTTGTTGCCCCCCGGCCCCATCACAGAGCTGGGCCACAGAATCCAACGAGGGAGGGAGCCACAGAACAGCCAGTCTTGGGAACACGCCCAGCCACCTCCCGCGCATTTGGCGTTTACGTTCCCACGGGTGGGATGGCAGAGCAAGATGGTGCTCTTCCATCTCCAGCAGGCCGTCGGTCCTTCCCGTTCCCACGCCAGCTCCCGGTGGCACGGCCTGTTCTCTCCACCAACACTGGCTGTCCTGCTTGCTTTGCTCCATAGGCTCCGTGTGCCCAAGCTGACCCACCCGGGCTGGCCTCAGGATGCCTCCTTAACTCTCACTGCCCCATTCCAGGTGATAATTGCTTGGTGTTCAGGTGCCCCTGTTCTGATGATGCCGAGGAAAGTGGGGAAGTCCACAGGCGTTCCCGAATCACAGTCCTGTCCCGCTGAACAAGGATTTGATCGTGTTTCAAGTCAGCCACCAAAATGGGTCCTGACCCCTTTAGGATTTGTTCATGCTCACCCCAGCACCATCTCCCATTTCTGCTTCCAACTGTGGAGTCGTTCAAGCCACAGTTTTCTGTTAGCGTCCACAAGACACGGCTGGACCGGTTGGGGCGCTGGCGTGAATCAGTTTTACAAATTAGGATGACAACCACCGCCAAGATGAACATAAATGGCACCGCTCTGGGGCAAGAGGGGAGCCCAGTGGGGGACTTCTGGGTCTTACGTTCAACCCCCTGATTTAAATATTTCACAAGATTGTCTAGTGTAGCAAGATGAAACTGCTTTGCAAAAATATTTATGCTGGGAATTCATGGGAGGGTATTTATATATTAAAAACGAAGGAAAGAAAATAAAATTGTCACGCTGGTTGCTCCTCTGTGGATTACTTTCTTTGGTCCAGCTCTCAGCTTTGCAGAGCCCTTGGCAGAAGTCCTGCATCCTGCCCAGAGAAAGAATTCCTTTTGCTGTTCTCCTTGATGGTTCAGGTACCCCGAGGGCAGCGCCCAGGATGATCATCTAGATCAGTGTGTCTGAACCTTGGCGACTTTAAGATGA